CCTGAGTTAGGGAGGTAAATAAAAAATTAGCTGATCTAAAAACCCAGAACTAGATTTTAAATAAAGGTCAACTATTAATCTCAGACAAAGGGCCTATAGAAAACTCTGTCTCACCTTACAGGTTACTCTACTCCCTTCTTTGTATCTATAAACACAAAAGGTTATAAATTAATTCTGATAAAAATGAAACTAACATCCTGGTACTATGGAATGTAACTCCCTGCTTCTTTAACCTCAAATGTTAAATGTATGCCAAAAAAGAAAGTATATAATCACATAGAAACTTGCAATAAATTGGAACAGTGTCACACTTCCTCTGAGTCATGTAGTCATCTGTCTCCCAGCACTGACACCTTACCACCTTCAGGACCCCCTGGATCCTGATGCAGCTGGACTGCGGCAAACATTCCTGTCTGTTGTTTTTGCTTTTACGTTTTGCTAATAATGTTTTTATACAATACCAATGTTCTTCCATTCTTTGCTTTAGCTTTTGTGCAAGTATTATATAAGGATCCATGTCACAAAAGAAGTCAAAAGCAGTCTTGAATTACTAACACTTCTGCAAGACTCTCTAATGTCAATTTATTGTCTGGCACTGCTTCTTCTTCTATGTCTTCAGCTTCATCATTTGGCACTGGTTCAGAAGCACTCTTCTACATCAAGTCGTCTTCCATTAATTCCTCTGGTGTGGTGTCTATTAGCTCTTGAATTTCTCCAAGATCCACGTGTTAAAACCCTTCACCCATCTACCCCACCTTTATGTCATATCCAAAATCTCTTCAATAGTTTTCTTGATTGGTTCTGTTGTAAATCCTGCAATGTTATGCATAAGGACACAGTTTTCTCCAGCAAGAATTTGTTTTAAGCTTGATGGATTTCACAGATTTTTCTCTAACAATTATGGCATATTTAATGTTGTAATCTTTCAATACTTTCATATTTTCACTAGCAAGGTTCTCTTCCATAGTAATGACAACACTTTCCACAGAGTACTGTATAAAATGAGTCTTAAAGGTCCTTATGATTCTGATCTAGAGAATGAATTAGAAATGTTGTATTTGGGGACAAGTAGACCAATTCAGTGCTTTTGGTAGTGAGCTCATGTGGTTCTAGGTGGCCAGGAGCATTGTTTAAAATAAAAAGAACTTAAAAGGCAGTCCCTTATGGACAAGGTCCTTCTTGTCTTTAGGGACAATGCATCAATAGAACCAATACACACACAAAAAAGGTCCTCTTTATCTAGACCTTGTTTTAGGACCAAAAGACTTTTCATTTAAAGCTCAGGGGTTAGCAATTTCAGAGATGAAAGCAGTCCTGATTATAAACCAACTGCATTTGCACAAATTGGATCCCTTCCTGCCTTAATTCTGGTGCTGCCTTCTCTTCCTTACTAATAAATGTTGTTTGTGGTATGTTTTTTTCCAGAATAGGACACTTTAATCTGCATTACAAACCATTTCAGGAAGGCATCCTTTCTACTCAGTGATTTTTTTTTAATGGCATCTGGGAACTTGTTTGCTTCTCTTGGTTGGTACAAGCTGTTTCTCTTGTTATCTTGCCATTTTTAAAGCAAACCTCCTTCTAAATTTATCAAACTTTCCTTTGCTTTAGATCCTTCACATTATTTTCCTTTAAGTTGTCATATAACTTTACTTAGTATCAAATCATATTAGAGTCTATAAGTATTCCTTTCTTATGACAATCCTGCACTTTCAATACAAGGTAAAAAGGTAGCTGCTTCACAATTTTCTTTTCTAAAAATATATACACACATACATTTTCTTTTTCTAGAGTGATCTTTATGCTGCACCAATTTAGGTTGAAATGGTGAGCACCTGCAGCTGCAGACTTCAATCTAAGGTACATATCAAGCAATTCAACTATTAGCACTTCCAGCATTATTAGGGGCACTTCCTATGGATCCCATGGTGTCAATCAAAGTTTGTGGTATTGTACTAAATACAATGAAAAACAAAAACTGCAAGGGACCACGTTTTACTGTGATGTGCAATTTACTAGAGACGAACAGTTCAGCTGAAGATGATAAGTGTCACATGGCATTTTAAGTAGATACTCGCAATACTTGAGCTTACAACAAAAACAATAGGAGGTGGCTACAAAATTATTACAGTAATATAGTATGCACTACAGTTAACTTTATACAGTTATGATTTAGTACTGCATCTTTACATTTGCTTACATTTCTCTCAACTGTGAATGGTACCATTTACGGTTGTGTTTGTGTGGATAAGTTTGGAAAATTTAAACTTTTTATAATAAATTTGTGTATATTTTATGGTAGTAAATGATAAAACAGACTACTATCTACATATATTTTATGCATTCATGACATACCTAACTTTTTTCTTAATTTTTTTGATATTTTCTAGGCTGCACAGTTTGCAAATTTCTTCATATTATCTGAAATTTCCAAAAATTTTTACAATATATTACTTGAAAAGACACACATATCAGTGAACCTGTGGAGTTTAAACCTGTGTTGTTCAAAGGTCAACTGTATAAGCATGAGAATTATATTACCACTTTTTTAAACAAAACACACCCTGGTACCAAAAAAAGTTAAGGAAAACCAAAGAAAGGTGCCACTGTCCATACAACAGTTGGCATGATAAAGAGGCAGTACCTTACTTCTGGGGAATAGCAGATGTAGTTTCACATAAACACCAGTTTGGCTCAGCAGTTACAGTGTCAGACCAATGAGTCGCGGGTTTGATTCTGATCGAGGGCACGTACCTTGGTTGCAATTTGTCCCTGGCCCTGGTTGGGGTAGTGCAGGAGGCAGCCACTCGATGTGTCCCTTTCTCGTCGATGTTTCTCTCTCTTTCTTGCTCTTCCTCTCTTTCCCTCCCACTCTATCTGAACAAAAGTGGAAAAATATCCTCGGGTAAGGATTAAAAAAAAAAAAAACCTAGAAGGAAAGCTGAAATTCAGGGAGACAGCTGGCATGACCTTGTGACCTGCTAGGAGCTACATGGGGCTCCTCCTTTCAGGATCAATTCCCCCAAATTCTTGAAGGAGTCTAAGCTTTTCATTCAAAGGTGGAACAGGGGGACACATCACTTCTCTTGCTTTATAAACAATGTCATCTTCCCTCTCTGATGTCACTACTACTTCCTTACCTATCTCATGGCAGAAACACTTCATATTAAAGAAACTCTCAGAGATATTTCAAAATGTTGAAATCACAAAGGACAAAATTTTGGAAGCTAGCCCTGGCTGATGTGGCTCACTTGGTTGGAGCATCACCTTGTACACCAAAAGGTGGTGGGTTCAATCCCCAGTCAGGGGGTGTGCAGGACTTCTGGTCAAGATGGTGGCATAGGTAAACACGGTACTCACTTCCTACCACAACCAGATCAAAATTATAAATCAACTACAGAATAAACATCCTTCAGAACCACCTGAAATTGAGCTCAATGGAAGTCCTATAACTATGAAATTAAAGAAGCCACATTAAGACTGGTGGGAGGGGTGGTGATGAGGACAGGCTGGTCCCAAACCCACATGTAGAGGATAAAAATCAGGAGAAATACCTCAGTTGGGAAGATACTCCCTGAGGAGTGAGGGATCCCATCCGACAGCAGGCACCCAGCTTAGGGTTCCAGTGCAAGGAAGAGAAGTCCCCATAACTTCTGGCTATAAAAACCAGCGGGAACTGAGGCAGAGAGAGACTGAGGCTGCTAAAGCCGCAGGGAGTTCCTCTTAAAGGGCCCGCACAAACTTACTTGGCCTCGCACCCTCCAGGCTCCAGCACAGAGGGGAGGCAGCTTGAAAGGCGCCAGAGACATACAGGAAAGAACTGAGTTTTTTGGCATCAAGGCAAGAGCTGTGGGGTGGCTTTCTCTCCAGCAGACATGCTGGTAAAGGCTGTTGTTCCTTTGTTAAGCCCTACCCCCACAGGGCAAACAGACAGGCACCATATCTGGGACTCCAGCTGGCTCATACTGTTTGCTTCCTCCTGGTGATTCCCTGAGGCTCTGCCCCACCCAATTTACAGGACCACCCCAAGCTGTTTCCAGTGGCTTTACCATAGGATTGGCCTGTTTTTGGCTCCTGCTTCAAATTTTTCTAAATTCTCTGAAACAAGCAGCATGTGAACAGAGAAAGCCTCATATCTCTGGCTAAGTGCCTGCAGGCCTGGCACTAGAAGCACCCAGCCTTGATTCACAGCTTGGCTTTGCCTGGGCACCTACAAGCCCAGCCCAAGAAGCAGCCATCAGCAGATCACTTTGTAGCTTATGCCGGGTGGCCCAGGGAAGAACACAGGCAGTGGCTAACCTTGCCCCAGAACCAGCACATCCAGTGGACAGCTTCAGACCATGTCGAAGCACCACCACCCAAAAACCTCCACAAGTTACACACTGAAGGAATGGACACAGTGGGTGCCAGAATCCTGCTGAAGTAAGTCCTATTCTGTGTGGTAGGCCCCTGCACACATGATCATCCAACACAGTCAAAGGTAGATAGTTAGTGAGCACAGCCAATCCTTGCAGCTGATCAGCCTGAGTAAAACCCTCCCACTGACATGCTAACAGCAATCAAGATTCAATTACAACAGAAGGGTATAAAGTCCACACAAGGGGTTCACCTCAACAGCCCAAATGGGTGACCAGGGAAGTGTGTCCCTGGATTCTACAGGATACCTACTACAACAGGATACCCTAGGAAGCATAGGAGACATAGCACCTTTACCTAATACAGAAAAACAAACACAGGTAAGCAGCCAAAATTAGGAAACAAAGAAACATGTCCCAAATAAAAGAACAAACTAAACTCCAGGAAAGAACTAAATGAAATGGAGATAAGCAAGCTAACAGATGCAGAGTTCAAAACACTGCTTATAAGGACACTCAATAAACTTAGTGAGAATTTCAAGGAACTTCATGAGAACATCAAGGACCTTAGTGAGGACCTTAAGAGCATAATAAAGGACCAGTCAGAAATTAAGGATACAGTAAATTAAATAAAGAATTACTTACAGGGAATCAATAGTAGAGAAGGTGAAGCCAAGAAGCAAACCATCAAGTTGGACTATAAGAAAGCAAAAAAAACACCCAATCAGAACAGCAAAACGAAAAGAGAATCCAAAAAAATGAGGATAGTATAAAGAGCCTGTTGGACTTCAAGCATACCAATATTCGCATCATAGGAAGTACCAGAAGGAGAAGAGAGAGGGCAAGAAATTGAAAACCTATTTGAAAAATTAATGACAGAAAACTTCCCTAACTCGGTAAAGGAAACAGACATATAAGTCCAGGAAGCACTGAAAGTCCACACAAGATGAACCCAAAGATGTCTGCATCAAGACACATCATCAACAAAATGCAAAAGGTTAACGAAAAAGAGAGAATTTTAGAAGCAGCAAGAGAAAAGCAGTTAGTTAGCTACAACAGAGCTCCCATAAGGCTGTCAGCCGATTTCTCAAAAGAAACTTTGCAGGCCAGAATGGAGTGGCAAGGAATATGTACAGTAATGAAAATTAAGGACCTACCACCAAGATTACTTTATCCTGCAAAACTATCATTTAGAATTGATAGCCAGAGGATTCTAAAATGGCGGTGGAGTGAATGGAAGTGACACAGACCATCTCGCAGGACCAAACTGGAATTACAACTAAAATAAAGAAAGATCACCACAAAAAAAAAATGAAAAAGCAGCTAACGAAGACCCATATAACCAGGGACAGGAAAAAAGAACACTAAATCCAGCTTGGAACAGAGAAAGACAAATTTCATATGATCTCACTGATTTGTGGAATATAATGAACATAACAGTTTGAGGACAATCCCCTAAGGAGTGGGGAGGTGAAAGAGGGATGAACCACAGAACTTATATGCATGTATGCATGAACAGTGGACATGGACAACAATCTGGGGAAGGGGCAGGGAGGGAAGGGGGAGGGGGGAATCAGTGGGGGAAAAAAGGAGAATCATTTGTAACAAAAATTAATCAATAAAAAAAAAAAGAAGAAAAAATCCAGCTTGGTGTGATCTGCAGAGGTACGAGAGAGCAGGCTGGGAGCTCACGGACAGCAGCTGTTTTAGCTGTGAGCAGCTCCCTCAGGGTTAAAATCCCAGGCCAGCTCCACAGCGCAGAGGGTCAGGAGAGAGGACTAAATTAGCTACAGCCACTCCCTTGGGCTCCGGCACAGGGAGGGTGAACTGGACTGAAACTGTGTGGACACTCAAGAGCTTGGAAAGCTGGAAGGGCATTAGGAGTTTTATGCTGAATATCCCTCACAAGACAGTGGCCATCTTACTTCAAGAGCCCCTTCCCAGATCCCCAAGGATAGCCCCTCCCTCAGAAGTTTAGGTTCACAAAGTTGGGCCTGAGAAATTCAAATTGAGTCTCATTAACAGACAGCATCTGCCACACTCTCTGGAAATCCTTTTAACCTGAACACCTTAGGGAGTTTTTCATTCAGCTGAGGGCTACAATCCAAGGCTTGTCAAGTAACTGAGACTAATAGCTTCCAGGCAAAAAGCTAAAGGATAACTGAACCTTTCCTGGACATGCAAATCTATCAGGAAAGTTAGACTTGACAGTGGAATTTAACGTGGGTCTTCCCACTCTCATCCAATCCCAGTAAAGGGAGCCACAAACAGAAGAACACCAACACCCACAGAGAAACTTTGGCAGAAGGCTCCAAAACCCACAAAGATAGCCAAAATGATGAAATAAAGAAACAAATCCCAAATGAAAGAACAAGAGCACTCTACTGAACATGAGTTAAATTAAATGCAGTTAAGCAAGTTATCAGAAGTAGAGTTCAGAGCAATGATCTTGAAGAAGCTAAACAGCATGAGTAAAGAGCTCAGCACCATGAGTAAAGATATAGAAAACAATTACAATAAAAACACATACATTTGAACACAAGAAGGTTAAACAGCATTATTAAACAATTAATGTGTTACCAAGGAGATCAAGGAAGAAATTAAACACTTGCTGAAAAACAATGAAAATGAACACACAACACAAAATCTATGGGATGCAGTGAAAGCAGTACTGAGAGGAAAGTTCATAGCACTACAGGCCTACCTCATGAAAAAAGAAACATTTCTAATTGACTATCTCAACTCAAAACTTAAAGAACTATAAAGCAAACAAAAAGAAAGCCCCAGAGCAAGTAAAAATAAAGAAATAGTAAAGATCAGAGCAGAAATAGATGACATAGAAACTAAAAAAAAAAAAACAATTCAAAAGATCAATGAAACAAAAGGCTAGTTTTTTTTGAAAAGATAAACAAGATTGATAAACCCTTAGCTAGACTCACCAAGAAACAAAGAGAATCCAATTACACAAAATCAGAAATGAAAAAGAAGTAACAACTGACACCACAAAAATAAAAGGATCAATAACAAATACAATCAACAGTTATACAGAAATAAATTGGACAATCTAAGAGAAATGGACTAATTTCTAGAAACACATAGTCTCCCAAAACTGAACCGGGAAGACAGAAAACTTGAACAGACCAGTAACACTAAGGAAATGAGAGATATAATCAAGACTCTCCAGGCAAAGAAAAGCCCAGGCCCAGATGGCTTCACGGGGGAGGTTTACTGAACATTCAAAGAACCACCACCACCATTCTTCTCAAACTATTCCAAAAAAATTTCAAGAAAAAGGAAGACTTCCAGACTCATTTTATGAGGCCAGCATCATTCTAATTCCAAACCAGATAAAGACACTACAAAGAAAGTAAACTACAGGCCAATATCCCTGATGAACATAGATGCAAAAATATGTAACAAAATATTAGCAAATCGGATCCAGCAATACATTAAAAAAATTATTCACCATGACCAAGTGGGATTCATCCCAGGGATGCAAGGCTGGTACAATATTTGCAAATCAATGTGATACACCACATAAACAATATGAAAGATAAAAACCATATGATCATATCAATAGATGCTAAAAAAGCATTTGACGACATTCAGCACTCATTTGTGAAAAACGCTCAGCAACATGGAAATAGAGGGACCATATCTCAATATAATAAAGGTCATATATGAAAAACCTACAGCCAACATCATACTTAATGGTCAAAAACTAAAAGCATTTTCTTTAAGAACAGGAACAAGACAGGGATGCACACTTTCACCACTTCTATTTAACATAATACTGGAAGTCTTAACCATAGCAATCAGACATGATGAAAAAATAAAAGAGACTTAAATTGGAAAGGAGGAAGTAAAACTGTGATTATTTGCAGATGACATGATATTGTACATAGAAACCCCTAAAGACTCCATCAAAAATCTAATAGACTTAATAAATGAATTTGGCAAAGTAGCAGGATACAAAATTAAGGTCAAGAAATCGATGGCATTCTTATACACCAATAATGAACTCACAGAAAGTAAAAAAAACAATCCCATTTACCATTGCAGCAAAAAAAAATTAAGATACCTAGGAATAAACTTAACCAAAGAAGTAAAGGACCTTTTTGCAGAAAACTACAGGACATTGAAAAAAAATAGAGGAAGATATAAATAAATAAAAGCACATATCTTGTTCATGAATTGGAATAATCAACATTAGTAAAATGTCCACACTACCCAAAGCTGTCTATTGATTCAATGCAATCACTGTCAAAACACCAGTGACATAATACACAGAACTAGAACAAATACTTCAAAAGTTCATATGGAACCAAAATAGACCTCAAATAGCCACAGCAATGTTGAAAAGAAAGGACAAAGTAGGTAGGATCACAATGCTCAACATCAGATTATACTACAAAGCCATTGTAATCAAAACTGCCTGGTAGTGGCACAGGAACAGGCATATAGATCAATGGAACAGAACAGAGGACCTGGAAATTGACCCAAGATATTATGCTCAATTAATATTTGACAAAAGTGGCAAGAGCATACAATGAAGTAAAGACAGCCTCTTTAATAAATGGTGTTGGGAAAATTGGACAGCTACATGCAAAAAAATGAAACTAGACCATCGACTTACACCATACAGAGAAGAATAAACTCAAAATGGATAAAAGATCTAAATGTGACTCATGAATCTATAAAAATCCTAGAAGAAAATGTAGGCAACAGAATTTCAGACATCATACACAGCAGAATTTTCACTGATACATCACTTAAGGTAATAGAAACAAAGAAGGAAATGAACACATGGGACTACATCAAACTAAAAAGGTTCTGCACAGCAAAAGAAATGAATGGAAAGGGAACCCTCTCTATGGGAGAGCATAATTGCCAACGATACATCATATAAGGGGTTAATTTCCAAAATGTATAGAGTGCTCATACAACTCAACAAAAGGAAGACAAAGATCTCAATTAAAACATGGGCAAAGGACCGCCCTGGCCAGTTTGGCTCAGCAGTTGGAGTGTGGACCTGCAGACCAGAGAGTTCCAGTTTTGGTTCCCACTAGGGACAATAGCAAAAAAAAAAAAAAAAAAGGAGGCAAAGGACCTAAATAGACGCCTCTCCAAACAGGACATACAAATGGCTAAGAGTCATATGAAGAAATGCTCAACATCACTAATCATCAGAGAGATACAAATTAAAACTATTATGAGTTATCACTTCATACCTGCCAGAATGGCTGCCATCAACAAATAATCAAACAAGAAGTGCTGGTGCTGGCGAAGATGTGAAGAAATGGGAACTCTAGTACACTGCTGGTAGGAATGCAGACTGGTGCAGCCACTATGGATAACAGTACGGTATTTCCTCAAAAAAATAAAAATTGATATGCCATTTGACCTAGTGATCCCACTTCTAGGATTATATCGAAAGAAGCCTGAAACACGCATAAGAAAGAATATATGTACCCCTATGTACATAGCAGCACTATTTACAATTGCTAAGATCTGGAAACAGCCGAAGTGTCCATCAATAGATGAGTGGATAAAACAGCTGTGGAACATATATACAAAGGAATGCTATGTGGCTGTAACAAAGAAAGATCTCTTATCCTTTGAGATTACATGGAGGGACCTTGAGATTATTAAGCTAAGCAAAACAAGCCAGTAGTACATATATACAATGGAATACTATGCAGCTGTAAGAAAGATCTCTTATCCTTTTAGACGACATGGAGGGACCTCGAGAGTATTATATTATGCAAAATAAGCCAATCAGAGAATGACAAATACCACATGATCTCACTTATTTGTGAAATATAATGAACAAGGTGGGCTGATGAAAAAAATACAGCCAGAGACATAGAAAGGAGTATGGTTCAAACTAACAAACCTCAGAAGAGGGGGGCAGGGTGAATGGATGAGATGAACCAAAGGATTTATATGCATGTATGCATAACTAATGCACATAGACAACAATGCTGGGGGTGGTTGGGGGGCGGGATGGCAGGAGGGTGTCTAGGAGGGAAAAAAAAGAAACATCTGTAGCAAAAATAAATTAATAAAAATTGGAAAAAAAAAGAATTGATGATTGTATAAAGAGTTTCCCAGACAAGGAAAAGCTAAAGGAGTTCATCACCAACAAACCAGTATTATATGAAATGTTGACAGGTCTGAAGAAGAAGAAGAAAGAAGAAAGAAGAAAGAATAAAGAAGAAAGAAGAAAGAAGAAAGAAGAAAGAAGAAAGAAGAAAGAAGAAAGAAGAAGAAAGAAAGAAGAAAGAAGAAGAAGAAATATGAACAATAAAATGGCAATAAATACATATCTATCAACAATTGAATCTAGAAACAAAATGAGCAAGCAGAACAGAAACAGACTGATAGATACAGAGAACTTTTTATTGGTTGCTAAATGGGAGGGGGTTGGGGTGAAAAAGATGAAGGAATTAAGAAGTACAAATTGGTTGTTAAAGTGAGGAACCTCAAAGGGAAAGGGGAAGTTGGGATGGAAAGAAAGAACTCAAAGAACTTATATGCATGTATGCATAACCAATGGACAGAGACAATAGTGTGGGGAAGGCAGGAGGTGAGTGGGAGTAAGGAGGAGGGGGTCAAGGGGGGGAAAGGAGGGACATCTGTAATACATTCAACAATAAAGATATATGTACCCCCATGTTTGTAGCAGCACTATTTACAATAGCTAAGATCTGGAAACAGCCCAAGTGTCCATCAGTAGACGAATGGATCAAAAAGCTGTGGTACATATATGCAATGGAGTACTATGCAGCTATAAGAAAGAAAGATCTCTTATCCTTTGAGACCACATGGAGGGACCTTGAAAGTATCATCCTAAGTGAAACAAGCCAAACAGAGAAAGACAAGTTTCATATGATCTCACTTATTTGTGGAATATAATGAACATAACATTCTGAGGAAGGGGGTAGTCCCAGCTGCGGAAATGGGGTATAGACTGACAATCCCCTAAATAGGGGGGTGGTGGGGAAGAGATAAATCACAGAACTTATATGCATGTATGCATGAACAGTGAACATGGACAACAAACTGGGGACAGGGCAGGGAGGGAGGAGGAGGAGGGAATGGGGGGGGGGGAATCTGTAACAAAAATTAATTAATAATAAAAAAAAATTTAGAAGCATATCCAATCTTAGAAAAACTATGACAATTCACCAAGGCATGGAAAGGATGCTGGCTCTATATCCTAAGTTATATGATGAGAAAAAGGCAAACACTATTCAAACTCCTCTCAATAAATGTTTTTTGTTTTTTTTGTTTTTTTTATCCTCACCCGAGGACATTTTTCCATTTTTTGTACAGATAGAGTGGGAGGGAGAGAGAGGAAGAGAGAGAGAAACACCGACGTGAAAGGGACACATCGAGTGGCTGCCACCCGCACGACCAACCAGGGCCGGGGACAAACTGCAACCGAAGTACGTGCCCTTAGTGGGAACCGAGCCCGGGTCTCTCCGGACCGCAGGCCGATGCTCTAACCGCTGAGCCAAACCGGCTAGGGCTCAATAAATGTTTTATAAAGAAATAAAAACACTTTAATTCTTACTATTTCTAATGTTTTAAATTACAGTGTACTAAAGAAGTACTAACTTTACTATACTTTTCATCTCCTTATACATTTATAATCAATAGAAGTTTTATGTATGTATTTATTTATTTATTTTTTAATCCTCACCCAAGGATAATTCTTCATTTACCTTCAGAGAGAATGGGAGAGAGAGAAAAACATCAATGCGAGAGACACATTGATAAGTTTGCCTCACACATGATCCGGAATAGGGCCAGGAACCGAACTGCAACCAAGGTACATGCCCTTGGCCGGAATTGAACCTGAGACTCCTCGGTCTGCAGGCTGACGCTCTAACCGCTGACACAAACAGAAGTTTAAAGTTTTGACCATTTTCTTTATTGTTGACACTATTACAGATGTCCCCCATTCACCCCGTTGCTTCCCCTCTACCCACCTTCCCAGACAATAATTTTTAAAGGTCATGAATTCAATGTGATTTTTCCCATTGACTTATTGAGAATCATTTGTGAGCCTGGCCAGTGTGACTCAGTGGTTGAGCATCGACCCATGCACCAAGAGGTCACCGGTTCAATTCCTGGTGAGGGAACATGCCCAGGTTGTGGGCTAAATCCCCAGTGGGGAACATGCAGAAAAGGTCGCCAACTGATGTTCTCTCTCATCGATGTTTCTGTCACTCTCTCCCTTTTCCTTCCTCTCCCTCTAAAATCAATAAAGAAGGGGGAAAAAAGACTCATTTGTGAGACTTCTGTTTGCCCAGGTATTTCTACAGTCCTGCACTACAGAGCAAGGCAAGGACTGCCTGCGTTGACACCTACCTGATATAGTCCTCATGGCTGGTGCTTTCACTGCAGATATAAGCAACCTCAACCTCTTGGCTAGAAAGAGCATCTTCCAAAGAAATCTGCTGGACTTCATTAAGGCACTTGAGCTTGCGTCTATTTGAGAAGAACAGAAATGGAACTTAAGAGTAGACAGATATTGGCTTAGAATAAATAAACATCATCTTTTTCCCTCTTCCCAATAATGTCCTAATTGGATCAGCTTTCGGAAATAAAAAAAATTAATTTCCTTCTACCACTTCCAGGGCACTTTCCATGATGGAGTGAAAAAACAGCCTCAGGTTTGAAGTCAGGGCACCTGGCATTGAGTGCCAATACTACTGCTAACAGTCTGTATGATGTGGAAGTCTTTGAATTATTTAATATCTAAAATAAAAAGAATTGATCTTTTTTCTCAAGAGGCATAATCTCTATTGTGACTGCCAGCTCCAAGTACCTGGCCAAACACTATGGCTAACAAACCTAACTCAAATCCAAAATACTAACACCTTTGAGGTACAAACTGCTGTGTGACTTCAAGCTCCTTCATAACCATCATGGCCTTGTGATGGTCAAATGGAAGGCAGGTATCACAGTCTCCTTTACAGCTGAGCTGACAAAGTCCAGAGAGGCAGTAGCTGCCACAGCTAACCAGTAGCAGAGGCAAGATAGAAACCTTAAGCCTTTTGAATCTTACAGAGTAAGAAGAAACTCCTGATTTAGAAGATCTGAGAACCCTGGCATTCTGCACACTACTCTAGTGCAAAGGCTAGAGCAATAGAGCAATCCTCCAATGATGGATGTTACAGAGGAGATGGGGCAGCCAGCAGAAGCCTCCCAGCCAACTCATAGATCTACTCAAGCTGCAGCAGGCAGAGGACATTTGGGCAAGTTTGACTGCCAAAGATATTATGGCAGGTTTCTTCCTATGGGGGCTACCCAATCTACACTGCTCAATTTGACCAATAGTTATTGTTTGTATACTGTGTGCTAGGCACCATAGGAAAGACCATAAAGAATAAACTAAAAGTCCTCAGCTTCCAATGAGCTCAAAGTCTTGAGGAAAGAGGAAGACATACACACAACAATACAGGACTAACATGAGAAATGTCCTGGAATACAGATTTAAGAAAGGCAAGAAACATCTAGTTTATGGTTTCCTGGGAAGAAGGTAGGACTTAACAGGCAGATCATGACAAACAGGGTATGTGAGAAGGGGAAAAGTGTGATGGCAGGGGTGCAGTAAAGAAGTGGGTATGAGCTGGCAATCTTCCCACATGACCTGGCTACTTTAGGAATTCCCATTATATCAGACAAAGCAGCCAGTTGGCAGAGGACTGAGACTTAAGAAAAAAGGAGAAGCTTCACTTCATCATGCTCCATCAGCATTTCAAACAGATGTTCAATGGGAGTTATAGCATGGGTAATGGTAATTTTGATCACCCATTTGTGTGTACCTCCCTTAGAATCTTACTGGGAGTATAGGATTGACCAATGGCAGATTCCCAGCACTTCTGAATCTCCCTAGTGACACAAAGTCCACTCTAAATCTTTAAAGGAATAGCCAAGTTTTGAGGCAGGCAAACTGGAAGAAAGTAGGTCCCATAAATTAAAACATTAAAAGAATTTGCATGGACCACCACAATAGTTCTTATGCTTTATATATGTATTTATTTGATTTCTCTATAGCACTAGAAAGTAGAGACATGCCTTCCTTGCTCACCACCACATTTCCTCAGCCAACACAATGCCTATATCTATTTCACTATTAATATTGATAAATGATGTTACACAGCATTAGTTTGGTGAATAATATGTGTGTGAGAAAGTAGTGCGGAGTGAAGCAAAGAGCTGAACATAGGGCAATAAATAATGAACATGGTAAGTTTGGTTTGGGTTGTTTATAGGAGAGAAATGAAGCCTAAAAGTGGAGCTCAAAATTATCAAAGGAAAAAGAACATACGGTGTTTAAAAGATGGGCCTTGACATCAAATAGACCTACATTCAAATCCATTTCTTAGGTTTTCCACTTATGTGACCTCAGACAAGTTACTCAGCCTTTCTATGGCTCAGCTTCTCTAGCTATAAAGTGGGGTTGGTAATGGTAATGGTATTTATGTCAAATAGTTACTAAGGCTTATAAAGGTTAGGGCTACTGCATGGATAGCTGTTATAACTACTCATGTAATGATTAACTATTGTATACCTAAAGCTTTCTTTCAGGCTAGCCCACCATGTGTTCCCTGTGCCCCTTGTGTAACTATAAGGTCCTATGCTCATCTTCTCTGCCTTTGCTTTTGTAGTTCCTTCTAGGTTGATTCACTGCACATCCCAGCATACTTTTCAGTTCCCAGGCTCATTCAAACTTGAGATCTTGTGGGGTTGACCCTAAACAAAGTTCTCTGGAAGAACCTTGGTGCTGATTCTCTATCTCCTGCGTCCGGAGAATCTCTGTATCCCAAGGCCTACTCCATCTCACAGGGCTTGCCATGAATTAAAAGGCCTAAAGCAAATGTGAGCCACCTGGACACAAAGCCAATCAGGTTCAGGAGTGCTGAGGAAGCATGTTGATTCCGCAGGTCCCTCATCCGCAAAGAGCCGGCTCTGCCAATGCCCACCACCACCACACCAAACTTCCTTTCAGGCTGAAACACAAGAAACCAAGGTAGAATTTAAAAACAGTCCAGAGGGTCAATGCAATCCTTATTAAAATATCAATGACATATTTCACAGATCTAGAACAAATATTCCAAAAATGTATATAGAACCAAATCAGACCCCAAAGAGCTGCAGCAATCTTCAGAAAGAAAAACAAAGTTGGAGATATCACAATACCTGATAACAAACTATACTACAAGACCACCGTTATTAAAACAGCCTGGTACTGGTATAAGAACAAGCACATGGATCTATGGAACAGAACAGACAGCCCAGAAACACATGCACACTGTTATGGACAATTAATATTTGACAAAGGAGCCAAGAGCATACAATGAAGTAAAGACAGTCTCTTCAATAATTGGTGTTGGAAAATTTGGACAAGTACATCCAAAAAAAAAAAAATGAAACTATAACATAAAATTACACTATACAGAAGAATAAACTCAAAATAGATTTAAAAAAACTTAAATATAAGTTGTGAAACCATAAAAATCCTAGAAGAAAATATAGTAAAATCTCTCACTGAGGTACCTTTTCCAATATATCTTCAAGGGCAAGAGAAACAAAGGAAAAAATAAATGGGACTTAGGGTAGGGGCTGGGTAAAGGTGAGCAAAGTGGGGGAAATGGGGAACACCTGTAATAGTGTCAACAATACAAAAATAAATAAAAGTTTAAATAAAAAGCTTCACAGCAAAATAAATCAACAAAATGAAAAGGGAACCCACTGTATGGGAGAACTTGCCAATGACACATTTGATAAGGAGCTAATTTCCAAAATATATAAAGAATATATACAACGCATCAAGATGGGCAGGGTTCAAGATGGTGGCAGAATAGGTGGATCTTGCTTGCAAACCCTCCCAGAATAAAACAAAAAATTTCAACTAAATTTTTTTTAAAAATCACCCTGAATTACCAACTAAAGACTATCTAAAGACCAAGGACTGGCAGAAGAAACCAATTTGAGACTGTTACGAAGGGGGGAGAAATTGGCTCCGTTTTCACAGGAGACAAGCCAAGTTTACAAAGGGTTATCTCAACTGCAGGAGGTTACCCCTGAGAAGCGTGAAGCCTTGACCCCAGACCAGGCTCCCAGCTAGGATTGCCAGAGTCGGGTACAGATGCCCACCATAGTATCCAACTGTGAAGGTGGTGGGGTTTCTACGCACCAAGGAGAGGTACAGCCTACTAGAGACAAAGTGACCCTTTTAAAGAAACAATGTGCAAATTTTTTGTTCATAGCCAATCACCCTGAGCTCAAGCAGAGAGAGGGTGGGGCAGACTGAAATTGTCTGAGGAGAGTTTGGGACGAGTGGCTTTGAGGAGAGACATGGGGTAGTAGCTGTAAGGATCCCTGTATTAGGCCACCTTCCCATACCACAACAGCCATTTTTTGTGTGTGTGAGGAGCAATTACCTCCTAGCAGCATCAGCATGGGGAAAAGCATTACCATACTGTATGGAATCCAACCCAACCTATCCTCTAGAATCTGGAATGTCCCAACCTGTATCTTTTTTTAATTGTTGACAATATTACAGATGCCCTCTATTTTCTCTCTCCACCCTACAACCACCCCACCACAGGTCTTCCTCACATTATTGTCTATGTCCATAGGTTATGCATATATTTTGGTCCATCCATTCTGTTGCAGAGGGTAAGATCTCCTTATTTTTTATGGCTGAGCTGTGTCAATGTACCACACCTTTTTTATCCACTCATGTATTAATGGGCACTTGGGCTGTTTCCAGATCTTAGCTACTGTAAATAACACTGCTATGAAGATAGAGGTGCATATAGTCTTTCTAGTTGGTGTTTCGGGATTATAAAACTATATTTCCAGAAGTGGGATCACTAGATCAAATGCCAGCTCCATTTTTAACTTTATGAGACAACTCCACACTATTTTCCATAGTGGCTGCAACCATCTGCATTCCTACCAGCAGTGTTACTAGGGTTTCTTTTTTTCCACATCCTTGCCAGCACTTGCTGTTTGTTGAATTATTGATGGTGGCAATTCTGGGAGGTGTGAAGTGGTTCATTGTTGTCATTTTAATTTGCATCTCTCTGGTGAATAGTGATGTTGAGCATTTTCTCATATGGCTCTGGGCTTTCTTGTCTTTTTAATATTTGCCTGATGAACTTGGCATCTATGTTCATCAGTGATGTTGGCTTGTAATTCTCTTCTTTGTAGTGTCTTTATCTGACTTAGGAAAGTCATATAGGAAAGTCATATTTTCTCTTATGGTTCTGTATGTCCTCTTTGAATTTTTGTCTTCCTTTGTTGAATTGTATGAGCACATTACATATTTTTGAAATTAAGCTCTTATCTGATGTATAATACGCAAATATGTTCTCCCTTACATTGGGTTCCCTTTTCATTTTGATGTTGGTTTCTTTTGCTGTGCAGAACTTTTTAGCTTGATAGAGTCCCACTTATTAATTTTTTCCTTTCTTTCTCTTGCCCTAAGTGATGTGTCAGAGAAAATTCTGCTAAGTGAGATGTATGAGATTTTGCTGCCTATGTTTTCTTCTAGAATGTTTATGCTTTCATTACTTAAATTTAAGTCTTTTATCCATTTTGAGTTTATTCTTATGTGTGGTGTAAGTTGGTGATCTAGTTTAATTTTTTTGCATGTACCTGTCCACGCTTCCCAACAGCATTTATTAAAGAAACCATCTTTACTGCATTGTATGCTTTTGCCTCCTTTGTCAAATATTAATTGAGCATAATGGCTTAGGTCCAGTTCTGGGTTCTCAATTCTGCTCCATTAATCTATATGCCTGTTTTTGTGCCCATAGCTGTCTGTTTTGACTACAATGGTTTTGTAGTATAAATATTTGGTATTGTGATCCCTCCACCTTTGTTCTTCTTTCTCAAGATTGCTGTAGCTATATGAGTCTTTTTGGTTCCATATAAATTTTTAGAATATTTGTTCTAGATTTGTGAAATATATAATATTGGTATTTAATAGGGATTACATTGAACCTATAGATTGTTTTGGGTATTATGGACATTTTAATTATGTTCCAATTCATGAACACAGCATATTCTTCCACTTGTCTTTATCTTCTTCTATCTCCTTTTCCAACATCCTATAGTTTTCTTAGCACATCTTTTACTCCTCTAAGTTTATTCCTAAGTATCTTAATTTTTTTTGTTCCAATGGTAAATGGGTTTGTTTTATTTTATTTTTGTTTGTTTCTCTTTCTGAGATTATTAATGGTGTATAAAAATGCCATAGATTTCTAAATGTTAATTTTGTACCCTACTACACCACTGAATTCATTTATTAAATCTAGTAATTTTTTGGTGGATTCTTTAGGGTTTTCTATGTACAATATCATGTCCTCAGTGAATAACGGCAGTTTTATTTTCTCCATTCCAATTTGGGGGCTTTTATTTTTTATTCTTGTCTGATTTCTGTGGCTAGGAATTCCAGTATTATGTTGAATACGAGAGGTAAAAGTGAACATCCCTGTCTTGTTCCTATTCTTACAGAAAATTCTTTTAGTTTTTGCACATTGAGTACAATGCTGGCTGTAGGTTAGTCATATATGGCCTCTATTATGTACCCACTTTGCTGAGAGTTTTTATCATAAATGGGTACTGGATTCTACTAAAGGATTGTTCTGTATCTACTGATATGATCATGTGATTTTTATCCTAAATTCAGTTTATGTGATGTATAATGTTTGTTGATTTGAAAATATTGTATCAGCCTTGCATCTCTAGAATAAATCCTACCTGGTCATGGTGTATAATTTTTTAAATATATTACTAGATCCAATTTGCTAGTATTTGCCTGATGAATTTGGCATCTATGTTCATCAGTGATGTTGGCTTGTAATTCTCTTCTTTGTAGTGTCTTTATCTGACTTAGGAAAGTCTTCTTTCCTCTTGAATATTTTTTAATAGTTTGAGAAGGATAGGTATTAGTTATTCTCTGAATGTTTGGTAAAACTACCCTGTGAAGCTGTCTGTAACATGGCTTTTGTTTGCAGGGAATTTATTGATTACTGCTTCCATTTCATTAGTAGTTATTGGTCTATTAAGGTTTTCTGAATTTTCCTGGTTGAGTTTTAGAAAACAGTGTGTTTCTAGGAATTTATTCATTTCACCTAGGTTGTCCAATTTTTTGGCATGTAGTTGTTCACAGTATTTTCTTACAATCCTTTGTATTACTGTGGTGTTAGTTACTTTATCTCTTTCATTCATAACTTTACTTATCTGGGTCCCTTTTCTAATTCTTGTTTAGATGTTCTTATATTGGGTGCATATGTGTTAATCAGGGTTATATCCTCTTGTTGTATTGGTCCCTTTAATATTATGAAGTGACCTTCATTGTCTCTTGTTATGGCCTTTGTTTTAAAGATTATTTTGTCAGTCCTGGCCAGTTTGGCTCAGCAATTGGAGCGTCAGCCCAAGAACCAGAGAGTCCTGGGTTCAGTTACTGCTAAGGGCACGTACCTCAGTTACAGTGTGTCCCTAGCCCCAGTTGGGGTCATGTGGGTGGCAGCCAGTCAATGTGTCTCTCTCACATCGATGTTTGTCTCTCTCTCTCTTCCTCCCTCTCCCCCTCCCGCTCTATCTAAAGATAAGTGCAAAAATGTCCTCGGGTGAAGATAAAAAAAAAGTATTAAAGATTATTTTGTCAGACATGAGTATTGTACCTCAGCTTTTTTATTTTTTCATTTACATTTACATAAAAATTATTTTCCATACCTTCACTTTCATCTTGCATGAGTCTTGTTTTGAGGTGGATCTCTTGCAGACAGTGTGTGTGTGTGTGTGTGTGTGTGTGTGTGTGTATGTGTGTGTGTGTTGTGTGTGTATATATATATATATATATATATATATATACATACCTATATATATATAATGTTTTTCTATCCATTTATCCATTCAGCTATCCTATGTCTTTTGATTGGAACTTTTACTCCATTTACATTTAAGGTTATTATTGATAGGTAATTATCTATTG